AGGTCGAGCCCCGTGTTGCCCCTCCCTACGCAAAGAAAAAGAAAGCGGAACACGGAAAGCCTTGTTCAGGCCGAGCCCCGCTCTGCATGGCTCTCCACGCAACAAAAAACGAACACGGAAGACACGGTCAAGGTCGAGCCCCGCTTTGCTCTTCCCGACGCAACGTAAACGAACACGGAACACGAAAAATGTCATTCCGGTCGAGCCCCGGCATGGCCCACCACGCAACGAACACGGAACACAGGAAGCACGGTCCAGACCGAGACCCGTTTTGTTCAGCCTTGTTCAGGTCGAGCCCCGCTCTGCAGGGTTCCCCCACGCAGCGACAACGAAACACGGAAAACTGCACATTTCACCCAGGTCGAGCTCCGCCGTGCATTGTACCCCACGCAATGAAAACGGAACATGGAAACGGAAAACCGTGCCCAGGCCGAGCTCCGTTCTGCACAGTTCTCTACGCACGCCCAGAGCCTGGGCCGCCACACCCTGCCGAAGACCACCCAGGGCCTGAGCGCAGCCCATCCACATTTTTTTTGGATGGGCTATGCTATGCCTACAATCCCTCGGGCTTGGGCGGGTCAGAGATGCGATGCGCCCTCTAACATACCCCCGTGTTTCTGGTACGCTAAGATCGCGCTGGCCATGGCGCCGCGGGATGCCATGGGGCCCCCAGCGGTCATCGACTAGGGTCGCGGGGGAGGGTGTTGCAGGCCCTTCTGGATTTCCGTTCGGTATACAAAACACCCCTTCTTCGGGTTGGTCTTTGCATACCAAGCATTACCCCAGGGATGTGCAATCTGACCCTGGCGGGGTGCCCGCGCCAGCCCCGTCCAGCCGCCGTGCGGAAGCATCTCAAGAAATTCGAACGCCGCGGGCCTCGTCGAACTGCAGGCAGAAGGAACTTACTGGTGGCCGCTCCTGGTCCGGTTCCGCAGGGTCGCTCCCTCAGGAAACCTTCGGGGATCTTGCCTGGAAAGGCATTCGTACACCTTAGGCGATGCTTAAGAAAACCTAAGTTTTCGTCCAGAGTCTCGATTATTCTTAATTTTCCAATGTAAATCCCCAGATTTTGATAGAAGTTCTGGGTTTTTATTCCAGTTCTGAGACTCTGAATTTCTTAACCCATGGTTTCTTAAGCATTTCGCAGGGTGTATACTGAAGAATATGAGGTAGCCTACTTGCCCGCACCTCTCCCCTCGGCGGCATCGTCGCGGCACGACGCGCCGGGCCGATTGGCGTCCGCGCTAAGGCTTTGCAGTGGGCGATCATCGTGCGACGTCGACCGCGGGCACGAAACGGCTGGGCGGTCGCCCCCACCCCGGCCCCCACGCTTGGGCGAAAGGGAAGAGGGCGCCGCGACGACGCGCCGCGGCGCGGGGCAGCGCGAGCCCAATGCGTTGGGCGCGAGGCGTCGCGCAGACCGCCCTGCTTGCATGGGCGAGCGCGCGGGGGGGGAGGGTGCGCCGCCCAGGGTCGGGAGGGGCGCCGCGCACGCTGGGTTGGGTGGGTGTCCCGCCCCGCTCGGCGAGGGCACCCGTGGTGCGGCTTTGTGCCCGCTCCCGCAGCGTCATGGCGCCAACATCGCAGAGCGGATTTCGTTCGGAAGACGACAGGGTGGGCCCGGAGTCTCCTGGAGAACTTCGCTGCGGATTTCGAGGTGAGTCTCGTGCGGGTTTCTCTGGGGCCAGGAGTGAAGATCAGAAAACATCCACGCGAAACGCACTCCGTTTTTCACTCGCCGTTTCGGGCCTAGCGAAGACGAAGAAGCCACGCGAAAAGCCGCTGCAGCACGTCTGCACGGTCGGTGCCGTGATCGGTAGCTTTTTCGGCAGGATAATTGAAGATTCGAAGACATCCACGCGAGACGCACTCCGTTTTTCACTCGCCGCTTCGGGCCCTGCTATAGTTCGGGCCTAGCGAAGACGAAAAAGCCACGCGAAAAGCCGCTGCGGCACGTCTGCACACGGTCGGTGCCGTGCTCGGTGGCTTTTGCGGCGTGGGGTCTTCGCGCCGGGCGCTCGGCGGGGCCCGCGGCGCAGGCCGGTGCCGGAGGCGCGGTCGGTTCTCGGGCCGGACGAAAGGGGGGGATTGGGGAAGGGGGGGGTACGAAATTTGCTGGAAACTGGAAACCAGGAGCAGCCCAAGGGCTCATGGGGCAGGGCCCTGAGGATTTCCGGACGGCTCCAGAGGCCGCCATGACTGGCTCGAGACCGTCCCAGACGCCCCGCGAGCGCTCCAAGACTCGGGTCGGGCGAAAGGGGGGGATTGGGAAAGGGGGGGTTACGAAATTTGCTGCATGCAGCTGGTTTCGGCCCCACCGAGGGGCCCATTCCTCGATACATAGTCGCCCCCGGCGCCGGGAGGCGCCGGGAAAATCAGCTACGCGAGCTGATTCTCAAACCGCCCCTTTGCTATCCCCCCCGTTCGCCCGACCCGAGGTTCGGGGCGCTGCTGCGCGCGGCCAGGGTCGAGCGCCGCGCCCGTCGTCGTGGCGCGCCGCGCCGAGCCGCGCCAAAATTCTGCGCTGCAGGAGGCCTGGAAATGGGCACCAACACCAAGGCTCGGGGGCGGAAAAGAGAGGGGTGACGACTAGGGGGGGTGATATCATGGCGGGGGCCATGATATTTCCCCAGATGTTATGGCGCCTCTTCTTGTTTCATCACGTCCCTGGCCTCCCCGCTGGGCCGCGCACATGCCGCAGGTCATGATTTGCACACACACCCCTCTTGGACACCCCCCTCTTGGCCGCTCCCGAAAGGCAGGGGTTTCCGTCCACGGGGGGAAGTGATCCTAGAGTGCGGCGTTGATGGTGATATGTCGGCCACCTCGGAAGCCAGAACATTACCACCATCGCCGAGATCGGGATCTTCTTCTCACGGTGGCGGCACGCCGCCGATATTGGTGCTGGTGTCAACCTCTAGGCCTGCGGCGCTAGGGTTTCAGAAAGTTCCACAAATACCCTCCTTTTTCCTCCCTCCCAACGTACTCTTTCGTTTCAAGAGGGGTAAAAACACACAGACACAATGTATCGTCGATTTCCCGGAAAATGTGGGAAAGTATGGGAAGTGCGGGGGAAGACGAAATTCTTGAAAATCTGAGAAAAGAGAAGGGATCTTTGGATTTGTGTCTATTCATTTGTGTGTCCCAGGGCCCATTCATCGTTGCTGCCCTCCCTTCCTCCGACATGCCCCCTTTTCCATTCCCCCCCCCCGTCCTCCCTCCTCAGTCCCGGGTCGTTTTCCGAGGTGGACGTGGACGGAGGACAGGGGATGGCGCATGGAGGAGGAGGAGGGAGGGACCCAGGGACTACCACGAAGCCCCTTCCCTCCCCTCCCGGGGGTTTCGTGTTTTCAGCCAGAGGCAGGGGGAACCAGAATCTGCGAGGAGAGGAGGAACGCGGCGAGCCACGGCTGAAGCTGGACACCGATCGGCGAACTCGAGTCCTCGGGCGAAGAGAACTACACCTTAGGCGATGCTTAAGAAAACTTAAGCTTTCGGCCAGAGTCTCGATTATTCTTAACGTTTCAATGTAAATCTTAAGATTTTAATAGAACTGTTGGGTTTTTATTCCAGTTCTGAGACTCTGAATTTCTTAACCCATGATTTCTTAAGCATTTCGCAGGGTGTACGCACATGCACCGATCCTGGCAAGGCCCATCCTTGACCCAGGATCGGTGCATATGCCTTCCTGGCCAAGTTCGGAGGGCGTATGCGTCGATCCTGGGCTCGGGATGGGCCTGGCCAGAATCGGTGTCTGTGCACAGCTCTCTTTCCTCCAAGCCAGATCCCCTCCCTCGAGGCCCCCCCCGTCCTCTGAGCTCCCGCGCCGTTCTTCAGCCTGCGGCACCGTCCGTCCGGAGGGCGTGCCTGGCAGCGGCCCCTACAGCACGGACGCCCGGGGCGGTTGTCGGCCATCTTGCCCTTGGCGGCGGCTCCCCGCGCCCCCGGCGGCCCGGGCAGCGTCTCCTCTACGGCAGACGCATCGAGTAGGGAGTCGTCTCGCTGCGTGGCTCGAGGGGCCTTCCCTGTCCTGTAACTTGGGGCCTTCTCGTGTCTTCCGACGCGGGCCCGGCGCAGATCCGACGTGGGTTCAGCACGGACCCCTTAGGCGCGAGGGCACAGACGGGGCCCCCCGAAGACGCAACACGAGAGTCGGCCTGCCAGCAGCTGGTCCTCAGAAGTGCTTCATCTTCTACAGAAGACGCATCAGGTCGGAAATCGTGCTGTTCAAGAATCGGGGGTGGACAGAGCCCCCAACAGTGACACGTCGACTAGCGAATGGTCCGTTTTCGGTTCTCGAGAGGGCGCCGTGGCCGTTATTTTCCAGGCTTGCGCCCGCCAGGTTTGGGCCTCAGGTCGTTTTCACTAAACCACGTTTTACTGAAGGGGGGTCTGTCCATCCCCGAAAGAAGTGAATCCGAGCTCATGTGTGTTCGGAACCTCCTAAGGTGCGTGCCGCATGGTTGCTGCGGGCCCCGGGGCCCCCAAGGGATAGCATTTGTATGTGGGGCACCCGCTGACAGGCCGAACTGCTACCGTCGAGCATCTGCTGCAGAAACCTCCTCCCGAAAGGCTGGGCCAGCGTTTCTTAACCAACTTGCCAGAAAACTTCCCAAGTTCTTGAGCAAGTTCGCCTTTCCAGCGTGAACAACAGAACGCCGCCCGGGTTTATTGCAGTAAATTTCCGGGAAGTTGGGCCAGATTTCTCGAATGATAGTTTTCTTGATCACATTGTTGGTTGTATTTGAGGCGCCTGATCTATCTTGCGTGTTCTGTTCCGCTGTGGGCTTGTGAGCTCTTCGAGGGTGCCAGTATTTGACCGGTTGGGGTCCTTTCTTGGGCATCCAGGAAGTTTCTCGTAGCCACAGTTGGAGTCGCCTCGGCCTTCTTGTCGAAACACACCCCCAGAGAAGAGGCTCAGCCGTTGCGGGAAAAGGAGGAGCTGGAGGATTGAATGTTCGCGGAGTCGCTTGCACGCAGCAGTTGAAGCCCAAGCGAAGGCAAAGTATGCCGAGGGTGACTCGCCGATGACAATCGACGACCTGGAGCTCACTTTCGAGGACCCCGCGCAAAGTGGCGGGGCGGAGAGGGGAGGAAGCCAACAGTGAGGGGCGGATGAGGTGATCGATCTCAACTGAGCTCCCCTTTCCCCGTGCAATGCCCGGGCGTATCAGACAGATTTTGGCTGGTCCAGCGGAGTGAGAGCGAAGGGCCGAACCAAGTCCACGCGCCCCTCGGGGGGAGGGATGGGCATTGGGTCCTTGCTGCTCTTGCCGTCCCTCGCCTGCAGCCCGTTCGCCACCCACCCGCGACGCCTCTGCGCCACTCTTGCAGGTCGAAGGCGGCCCGCCTGTGGCCCCCCCTCGGCCTCCACGGCAGCCGCCCACGACCCCTACGCGACCCGCTTGCGGCCCGGCTTCGGCACCCGCTCCGCCCTTGTCCACGACCCGCCCGCGACCCGACGGCTATTCTCGTTTACGCGTAAGAGTGACCTTTCGCCAGAGTGACCTGTGGTGCGGGCCCAGTGGGGTCCCCCGATTGCCAAACGCGAGGCGATAGTAACGTCTTGCGCTCCTGTGTTTGGTCCCCCCGTGGCCCCCCAAGAGCCTCGCACCAAAGGTCACTCTTGCCCAGGGTCACTCTTGCGTGATCCGATATTCGCCCACAGCCCACCCGCGATTCGCCAGCGGCGTGGTCGCCCCCATCAAGCGGAGCCGTCCGCTGCGGGCGAGTCCCCGAGACGCGGCGAAGCGGAGGGCTTCTTCGTGCTTTCTGTGCGGAGCTGGCCGAGTGCACCGGGTCCTCGCAGGGGCGCCGCCCGTGGCCGCCGCGTGGCCGCTTCGTGCACGGGTTGGATGCAGCAAGGGGTCGCCCAGTCGCCGCCCCTGGCCGTCGCACGGACGCTTCTGTGTTCTCGAGCAGTCGCCACTCGTGGCCACTTCGTGCGACGGCTGGCCTTGCACCCGACAGCCTGCATCACACAGATGTGCCCGTTAAACTGCACCCGATTTCATTACATGTGCATGTAGTTCCCACTCCCACATATATTATACGAATTACATGATAGTATATTATATGATAGTATATAATATCATAATATACTATATGTCATGATACTATATTATAATACATCAACCAGTTGTACACTATAGTATCACAGAACCGTTGATGGTATATTGCGTAATGTCATATTGATTTAGCGCAGTGTAATGTAATATATGATACCAGGGTGTAGTGTTCTGTATATCAGTATGGTGTACTTCATTTTAAGTTACTGTGTTCTATGTTGCAATGTCATATTACATTACGATGTATGCTATGTAGTTCTATTCTGTTTTCGTGTAAAATTTGGTGTCGTATTACATTATCGTATAGCATATTATTTGTTATGCCATCGCATAGTCATTCAATCGTACACTCCATTATTATAGTAGACCATGAGTTGCTATCTATACATATATATGTATATGTGTGTTCCTTCTCCCGTCTCCCCAAAACATTGCGACTCTTCCCCGCCCCGTGGTTGCGTCATCCCACCTTTTCATATTCGAATAGTTGTATGCTCATGTGTATATTTATACATATATATAGGTTGTCCTAAATATGTTTTTTTATAGGGCCGTGGTCCCTGGAAAATAGCGCACCCCCCCTGACATCCCGAGCCCCCCCCAAACGAATTTCGAAGCCTCTGGCCTGTCGTGCGCCTTGAGTTTTCTCTGATTTCCGACTCTCCGGGACCTCTTGGGCCGGCCTTGGGCCTCTTTGGGGCTCGTCTGGAGACTCATTTGGAGCCTTCCTGGGGCTATCTCGACGCTTCAAAAGCATAACTATTGTAAGCGAAAAGGCGAGAAGACCAAACACATTGATTTTCCAATAGGTTTTCATTTATTTTCGATTCTCGGGGCATTCTTCGGTCAGCCTTGGGCCTTTTTGGGGCTCGTCAGGGGACTCATTTGGAGCCGTCCTGGGGCCATCTTGAAGCCTCAAGAGCCGATCGTAAGCGAAAAGGCGAGAATGTCAAAAACATTGTTTGTTTCAATTGGTTTTCGTTATTTTTCCGGCCAGCCTTGGACCTCTGTGGGCCTCGGCTTGCGCCTCTCTGGAGCCATCCTGGGACTATCTTGACGCCTCCCGACCCGACCGGAACCGAAAAGGCGAGAAGACCGAAAATATTGATTTCCCAATAGGTTTTTTAAAGATTGGTTTCGAAGCTCCGGGCCCGCTAGGGCCAGTCTGTGCCCTCTTTGGGGCTCGTCAGGGGACTCATTCGAAGCCGTCCTGGGCCGATCTTGATTCCTCAAGAGCTAATCGGAAGCGATAAGGCGAGAAGACCAAAAACATTGATTTTCCAATGGGTTATCACGGATTTTCAATTCTTTGGGCTCTCTTCGGCCAGCCTTGGGCCTCTGCGGGCCTCGGCTTGCGCCTCTCTGAGGCAATCCTGGGGTCATCTTGACGCCTCTCGAGCCAACCAGAAAGGAAAAGCTAGAAGGCCGAACACATTGCTTTTCCAACGGGTTTTCTCTGATTTCCGACTCTCCGGGCCCTATTGAGCCAGCCTTCGGCCTCGTCTGGGAATCATTTGGAGCCGTCCTGGGCTGTCTTGACGCCTCAGGAGCCGATCGTAAGCGAAAAGGCGAGAAGGCCAAGAACATTGATTTCCCAATGGATTTTCATCAAATTTCAAGTCTTTGGGCCTTCTTGGGCCAGCCTTGGGCCTTTTCGAGGCTCGAAGCCGGCAGCCCAGCAGCGCGCATGCCGAAAATAGCATGTTCTGTAGGAGGTGGGGGAAGAGGAGGCAGAGGCGAAGGAGGAGGAGGAGGATAAGGTAGAGGAGGAGGAGGAGGAGAAGGAGGAGGAGGAGGAGAAGGAGGAGGAGGAATTAGAGGAAGACGGGGAGAGAGGAGAAATAGGATGAGGATGAGGAGGAGAAAGAGGAGGAGGAGGAACAGGGGGAGGACGAGAAAGAGGAGGAGGATGCCCTGCTTCATGCTAGCCCAACCACTTGCCTGAGACAGATTCGCGCCTCTGGCCCGAAACGCCTTGAGATGGCCTCAGCTGGTATGTCTGGTCGCTCCCGCCCAGGAACTCCCCATCCATTCCGACTTGGCGGTGGCCCGCCTCATGTCCACGCGCACGCACGCCGCCTGCACTCGAAACTACAAGGAACAAGCTGCATGGCGCGAAGCGCCAATGCAGTCTTATGTGTATAGATAGATAGATAGATAGATAGATAGATAGATAGATAGATAGATAGATAGATAGATAGATAGATAGATATATAGATATATACATAGATACATAGATACATACATACATACATACATACATACATACATACATACATACATACATACATACATACATACATACATACATACATAGGTAGATAGACAGACAGACAGACAGACAGATAGATAGATAGATCATCCCTGGCAGTCCTGGCATCTACCCTCCCACTCCCCCCGATCCTTGCCAGCAATACTTGGCGTTGCACACGCGCCGACCTAACATGTGTGCTGTGTGTGTTGCACCCTGCGGGCCACGCGCGCGCGCGCTCCCGCGCGGGCGAGCCGAAGTCTGTCGAGACAGTTGGCGTCCCAATCGTTTCCAGGCCTGCAGTGCTGCGAAAAAGCTGCAGGCTGCAGTGGTTGTTCGTTTGTCATCCCCTAAGTTACTCCAGATTTCGTAATGAAAGGGAGGGGGTCTGGACCCTCCAAGACGAGCCATTTCAGACCTCCCCCGTGGGAGAACCCTCCAAAACATCGTCCCCAGACCCCCCAGGCCTTCCAAGATAGCCTGGAACAGACCCCCCCCCGGAAATGAGACCCCCCTCCCTTTATTACGAAATCTGGAGTACCCTGCGCACGCACTTGTTGACATAGCAGCCTTGCGACAGAAGGCTCCGCACAGCTGCACACAGTGATGATAGGGGGCCACGGTAGGGGTCAGGAAGGGGAGCCACGACGGGGGCCGCGATTGGGGCGTCGGGATAAGGATTGTGGGAAAGGTAAGGATAGGGATGCAGGGCCAGCGATATCGGGAAAGGGATATATAGGAATAGGGATCGGAATGGGGACGGGGATGACAGGATTGATGGTTGATAGAGATAGGGGTCGGGAGGAGGATGGGGAGAGGAGGACAGGGATAGGGATAGGGATGGGGACGGCAATGAGAGGCGACGGGAGGCCGCGGGAGGCCGCGGGAGGCCACGGGAGGCAGCGGGAGGCCGCGGGAGGCCACGGGAGAAGCGTCGCCCGACCGGTTCTGGAGCCGGCAACGCACAGATGATTTTTTCTTAGACACCGAGGTTCTCTACTCAAGTTACTGAGGCCTCTCGCCTGGTGACCATAAAGGCCAGGGGCCAACTAGAACAGGTGGAGACCACGGCCCCAGCGGCAGTCCACGCGTCGGCATTGTCAGCAGGCAGCTGCCAGGGTCCCAAGGGCGGGGGGCAGCGGGTGCTGAAGGAGAGTGGAGGAGACCAGGTGCAATGTTAAATGAGCCCATGCAGGTCCCAAAAGTTCTCTACTCAAGTTTCTGCGAAATGAGCCCACGCAGGTCCCACGACAGCGCGCACGTCCACATCATTCAACCACCCTTTTTGGCATGCCGGCCACCCGCGCGCGTCCCCGCGCGCACGTCGAAACCACTGCATCACCATCGGTCTCTGTACGCGTGTGAAGACTGAAGTGTTCAAACGTGTTGAAACGCAGCTCCGTTTCAATACTCCAGATTTCGTAATAAAGGGAGGGGGGTCTCATTTCGGGGGGGGGTCTCTTCCAGGCTATCTTGGAGGGCCTGGGGGGGTCTGGGGACGATGTTTTGGAGGGTTCTCCCACGGGGGAGGTCTGAAAAGGCTTGTCTTGGAGGGTCCAGACCCCCTCCCTTCTATTATGAAATCTGGAGTACATGGTGTTTCAGGTGTTCTGCGTGCGGACTCCACCACCCTCATCAACACCATTGTCCTCATCATCGTCTGCGTCATCCTCGCCATCGTAATCATCACCAGCCTCATCATGACCATAACCGTCGTCACCATCACCGTCGGTGTCTTAAT